TCAAATGGCAGAGTTTCCTTTTTTATGGCTGACTTACTATTTCATTGTATATATTTCAGTGTGTGTGTGTGTGTGTGTGTGTGTGTGTACCCAATGAAGTATTATTCAGCCATGAGAAAGAAGGAAATTCTGCCATTTGCAATGACATGGATGAATCTTGAGGTCATTATGCTAAGTGAAATAAACCAGACAAAGTAAGACAAATACTACATGGTAACACTTATATGTAGAATCTTAAAATTAAAAACAAGTCACTCATAGAAACGGAGGTAAAAAAAAGTGGTTGTCAGAGGCTGGGGGTGGAGGAAAAAGGGAGAAGTTGATAAAAGAGCATGACCTTTCAGTTATAAGGTGAATAGGTCTGAGGATCTAATGTAAAACATAGTGAATATACTTGCTAACACTGTATTGTATAATTGAAAATAAAAGAAAAAATGTTTTAATGGGCAAAGGACTTAACTAGACATTTCTCCAGAGGTGATATACAAATGGCCAACAAGCATATAAAAAATGCTTAACATCAATAATCATTAAGGGAGCCATATCCCCTCACACCCATTATGATGACTACTATGAAAAAATAGAAACGAGTGTTGGTGAGGATGTGGAAAAATTATAACCCTTGTGCATTGCTGGTGTAAAAGTAAAAATGGTACTGTATTATGGAAAACAGTATGAGAGTTCCACAAAAAATAAAAATAGAACTACCATATGATTTGGCAATCCCACATGTGGGTATATATCCAAAAGAATTGAAAGCAGGATTTTAAAGAGGTATTTGCATATCCATGTTCATAGCAGTATATTCACAAAGTCAAAAAGTGGAAGCAACCCAAGTTATCCATTGATAGATAAATGCATAAACAAAATCCAATCTCTATACATACAATTCTATGTTATTCAGTCTTAAAAGGGAAGGCAATTCGGACACATGCTACAATATAGATGAACCGTGAGGACATTATGCTAAGTGAAATAAGCTAGTCACAAAAAGACAAATATGTATGATTCTATTTATATGTGGTATCTAGAGTAGGCAAATTCACAGAAACAGAAAGTAGAATGGTGGTCCCCAGGGTTTAGGGGGAGAGAAAAATGGAGATTGTTTAACGGTTATAGAGTTTTAGTTTTACAAGATGAAAAGTTCTGGAGATTAGATGTACAACAGTGTGAATAGTTAATGTTAGTGAACTATACACTCTGTAATGGTAAAAAATGATAAATTTTATCTTGTGTTTTTTTACAATTAAAAAATTTAAAGGAAGTAATAAAGCCCATAAAAAGAAACCATATTAAAATATAAAGAAAATGGTTCAATCGGTCAGGTTTTTTTTATTTAGAAAATTTATGCTAGTTGTGTTACCTTCTTGAGAAAATTACTTAAATCTCAGTTGTTAATGGATGTTAAATGAAATAACTTTTGTAGCACAGCTAAGTATTTAGCAAAACACAGTAGGTGTTTAATAAATAGTTAAAATATCAGATTATCTCATATAATCTTCAAGCTGATGAACTCAAGAATGTATATTTTGGGAATGTATAGCCTTCCCCAACTCTGATGAGAGTTTGATGTTTCCCTTACGATAAAATATAATCAAAAAAAATTTCCCATTTTTTCTTTTACTCTAAGTATATGAAACACAAATCTAACTTTTAAAATTACCTTTTAGCAAAAGCACAGATGTTGTCAATAAGTGGGCAGTTCTTCAGTGCAGCTTCCACTTTCCCAAGAGATACATATTCTCCTGCTTGTAACTTCACCAGATCTTTCTTACGATCTGTTAAGTCATGAAAAGTTATCCATCATCCATTTTATTACAGTCTGTACAATTTTGATTTTCTTTCAATATTATTGCCTTAATCTTTATTCACAAAGATACTTCTAAAATTTTGTTAAACATAATGCTTGCCCAGACGTATCAATTAAAAAAGAAAATGCCTAGTTAAAGAAGTACTGGATAAAATGTTATACCTTATACCGAAAGCTTTAATATCTTATTACAATCTTTAACATTATAATGAAGTTAATAGAAGGAACAAAGACTTTAGAGCATTAGATTTGAATGACAGCTCTGCCTGTTACTAGCTATGTGATCCTAGGTATGTCAGTTGACTTCTCCAATACTCAATTTTATCAGGGGTAATGATGCCTACCTCATATAGGCATTTAGCCTATCTCATACATTCATACATACAGTGTTTACATACAGAACATGGTGAATAAATGTTAATTCCTCATTTTTCATATTTGACATTATCTTGTTAAAATGACAGTGTTTTAAGAACATGCTGGCACAGCATAAATAATCATCATGGGAGTGCTGACTCGCTTACCCATAGCCTGGGAACCCACTCTATATGCCAAAAAAAAAAATAAATGAAAAAAAGGAAGCTGTTATTGGTTCTAGATTGAACCATGTTTCCTGGGAATATCCCCAGCAAATCAAACTTCTCGATGAAGAACCAATTGTCCCTGGAAATCTCTAACTATATTCAGGTCAGATATGGGTACAGAGACAGATTTAAATATAACTGAGGAAATTTTATGGCTTGAAAAGGATCTGACTGGGACCTGACATAGTGGTCCTTATCAATTAGCCAAATTTTTATCTTAACTTTTACCTGATTAAAGTGAATAGTATAGGACCATTTGGAGTAATGTTTTGACTTAATATTTTAGTAGGCTCAATAAGGGCAGTGATAAACCAATGAACATTCTCAGAGCAAACTAATGTTGAAGATTGATGCTATAATTTTCTAAGGTTCAGGGCTAGTTAGAGCCATATAAATGGACACTAGAGAAAACAATGTCTACACTGCCCCTTGGTGTGGGGAGGTAAATGGTGAGGAAGGCCTAGAATAGGGTATGTTACAGTAGACTATTATACAGAACCACATGTTGTTGACCAAAAAATATACTTCTTATGAACAATTTTAGTATTCTCATTACCCATGTGCTATTTTCCTGCCCATCCTCCCTAACCTCAATGTTGCTGCTGCTGCTGCTGCTGCTACCACTTACTAAGGTACAGGCACTGCCCTGCTCTAACCATTTTACATATGTCAACTCATTTAATCCTAATAAAAATCCTACCAGGTCAGTATTCTTATCCCTATTTTACAGATGGAGAAGCACAGACATAAATTAAATAACTTGCTCAAACTTTAAACCAATGGAATCATCAACCCTATTAATGACTTGACCAATATCACCTTTCGTATATGCTGCAGTTGCAAAAACCAAGGAAATCATAAAATAATAATACACTGACCAATAATCTGTAAACATCCATCGGGATGAAATTCTCCAATATCACCAGTGCAAAACCACCTTTGGCCATTTTCATCCACAGAATAATCTTCTGCCGTTTTCTCTTCATTTTTAAAATATCCCATGGAGATATTTTGTCCACCGATTACGATTTCACCTCTTGGGTTTGGCTTGTCATGAATTGTATAACCACCTGGAAGTCATTAAATCAAAATGAGTTATTGTTCTAAAACAAAATTTACTTGCATTAATTCTTAAAGGTCTTTTGCTAATCTTTTTCTGCTGATCAAATTGTACATCACTTTATAGGAGAATATTAGTTTGTATTTATTGAGATTTATGTGAGGATAGTGGGTGACTGTGATTTCAGGAGTACCAGGGAAGGATGAGTGATAATCACCAACCACCATCCATCCTAAACCTTGTCATGACCATTAAAATTTCACACTTAGAACTAATTAAAGCTTATGGTTGACAGAACTCTGTTAAGGTAAAATTACCCACAAGAAGGATAATACTGGAAGCTGTTATAAGTAAATTAATAATATGCTAATATCAATGCATTTCAGATTTATCCTAAGGAGATTTTAATCAAAGGGAGCAGGTAGTAAATGCCCACCAAAAGCAACGCCATTAAGTGAGAGAGAAAGGGCAACTATGGGGAGCAGAAAGGACATTTTATTTTCTTAATTTGGCTTTTAGCCAGTCTTGACTTTAAAAATTAAAGGAATTGACAATAACTTAAAATATTCGATTACTATTCATTACCTGTTTATTAATAAATAAAGCTTACTTTAGGGAAAGTATACAAAAATCTGAACTCATAAAATGACATGCTGATTAGATTTTTATATCATAAAAGGATTAAAAGCAGGACTCCCTTCAGCTGTTAGATGCTCTATTTAAATAATAATTTTTATTTTTCGATTATAGTTGGCATACAATATTATGTTTGATGTATAATATAGTGATTAGACATCTATATAACTCACAAAGTGATAATCCCAATAAATCTAGTACCCATCTGACACCATATATAGTTATTACAACATTACTGAATATATTCTTTATGCTATACTTTATATCTCCATGACTATTTTATAACTTACCAATTTGAACTTCTTAATCCCTTCCCTCTTTTTCACTGACCACCCCCACCTGGTACCCCTCAAAATGTTCTCTGTATCTATGAGTTTGTTTCTGTTTATTTTGTTCTTTATCTAACTTACTCTACTCAGCATAATACCCTCTTGGTCCCTCATGAAACATCCTTTTCCATCACTTTACTTTCAGTCGGTGTGTATCTTTCAATCTGAAGTGAGTCTCTTGTAGGCAGCATATGTAAGGGTCTTGTTTTCTTATCCATTCAGGCACCCTATCTTTTGATTGGAGCATTTAATTCTCTTTCATTTGAAGTACTTGTTGATAGATATATAGTTATTGCCATTTTTTATTCATATTTTTGATACGTAATTTTTTCTTCTTCTTAAAGAAGTCCTTCCAACATTTCCTGTAATACTGGCTTGGTGGTGATGAACTCCTTTAGCTTTTTTGTGTGTGGGAAGTTCTTTATCTATCCTTTGATCCTAAGAGATAGCTACGCTGGATAAAGCAATCTTGGTCAGTTATTGGTCTTGGCTTTTCATCACTGTGAATATTTTGTGCCACACCCTCTGGCATGCAAAGCTTCTGTTGAGAAATTGGCTGACAATCTTATGGGTGGCTCCGTTGTAGGTAACTAATTGCTTTTCTCTTGCTGCTTTTAAGACTCTCTCTTTGTCTTTAATCACTGGCATTTTGATGATGACTGTCTTCGTGTAGGCCTCTTTGGGTTCTTTTCGTTTGGGACTCTGTGCTTCTTGGGCTTTTATGTCTATTTCCATCAATAAGTTAGGGTAGTTTTCGGTTATTATTTCTTGAAATAGATTTTCAGTTCCTTGCTCTCTCTCTCTCTCTCTCATCTCCTTCTGATATCTCTATGACACGAATGTTGTTGCACTTGGTGTTATCCCAGAGGACCCTTAAACCATTCTCATTTTTTGAGTTCTTTTTTCCTGTTGCTGTTCTGATTCAGTGTTCTCTGCTACCCCATCCTCTAAATTGCTGATTTAATTCTCTATTTCATCCAATCTGTTGATTCCCTCTAATGTACTCTTCATCTCAGATATTGTATTCTTCATTTGACTGGTTCCCTTTTATGTTGTTTTCCATCTCCATTTTTACGATTTCTATCTTTTTGTTAAAGTTCTCCCTGAGTTCATCTATTCTTCCCCTAAGTTCATTGAGTATCCTTATAACCAATGTTTTGAACTCTGCATCTGATAGATTGCTTGTCTCCACTTTGTTTAGATTTTTTTCTGGAGCTTTGTTCTGTTCTCTCATGTGGGACATGTGTCTTTGTCTCCCCATTTTGGCTGTCTCCCTGTGTTTGTTTCTATGTATTATGTAGGGCCCCTAAATCTCTCAGTCTTAGTGAGTGGCTTTATGTAGTAGAGTAGGTGTCCTGTGGGTTCCAGTGGCACAGTCTTCTCTGGTCACCTGAGCAAGGTGTTCAAGGTGTGTCCCTCGTGTGGGTTGTGTGTGCCCTCCTGATGTGGTTGAGCCTTAGTTGCTATTTACACTTCGATGGAAAGGATTGACCTTTTGGCTGACTGGTTGTGAGGATTGGCCGGTGAGGGGCTGACCCTGCAGAGCAGGACTCACTTTAGCAAGGCTCTGGTGCCTGCCCAGTCTGTCCTTCGGGTGTGTTCTCCTCAGATGCACCCCTGGGTGGTGCCGGGTTCCATCGCAAGGTTCCATCGCAAGTCGAAGCAGGCCACTGGGTGTGCCCGCCCAAGGGCCTCTTGGGAGGGGCCCAGCTGCAGGTCAAGTTCAGCTGTAGCCTGTGTACTTCTGGGGCCACCTGGTAAGAGTCTTCAAGCAATCCGCAAATGGCTGCCACCTGTGCTGGGTTTATAGGTGACTCGAGAGGCCAAGCCAGAAACTGAGGCAGGCTGCTGCTAGTGCTGGACTTGGTGCTGCTTAGCAAGATGTACAAAGCATGCTGAGGCTAGATACTGCTTGTCTGGGTTTTGTGAGCCTTTGAGAGATTTTAGGAAAATCAGCAGTGAGAGCCAAGACAAGGCATTTGTATGGAATAAACCACCGGAGGCAGCTTGGGTGGGTTTACAGGTTGAGAGAGATGGGATGAGGTCTCAGGGAATCACCTGGGTGGCATGACCTGTGTTATACAAGTTGATGGAGACTCAGGTACGGGAACCACCAGTGTCGGCACACAGGGAGCGGCAAAGGCTCAATCAAGGAACAATGGATATTGCCAGCACTTCTTTCTGGGAGAAAGCCACCCCTCCAGCCCTCGCACTGAAGCCCGACAACTCATTGTCTTCCAGTTAAGTCCCTGGTGCTCCTCAAGCAGCTGCCTCAGCGCTGGAACTCAGAGTGAGTGAGTCTGTCAGTGAGGAAGTGCGGGCTTGGGCCCTTTAAGAGGAATGTCTGTGACACCCGTAGCCCTCTGTCTCACTCAGCCACAATCTCCGCTGGTTTTCACAGCCAGAAGTTGTGGGGACTTCTATTCCCAGCAATGCAACCTTGGGCTGGGGAGCCCAGTGTGGGACCTGGAAGCCCTGCTCTTCAGGAAAGGGTAAGGGCTTTGCAGTTAAGATGACCCTCTCGATTCTCGACCAGGCCATTTCGCATCTCTACCATCCTATCAGCCTTGAGGTGACCTCTTATGTATGTCCCCAGTTGTATGACTTCTGTTCAGCCAGACCTCAGTCGACTCCCAGTGATTGTTGCTCTGTAATTTCATTATAATTTTGGTGTAGTCACAAGAGATGTGTACAGCATCTACCTTCTACACCATCTTGGGTGGTCGAGATGCTCTTTTAAATGGAAAACTATTCAATATTTCATTATGACAAAACCAATTTTATGTAAAATATTAAGATAATTCCTATTATATAAGGCAAAGATTCCTCCAAATAAATTACATGTCCAAAAATAAATCCACTCCTGAAAATTGACATTGAAGTACAATGAGAAAATCATTAAATGAAAATTAATGGCAAAATTCTCTGATTCCACTACCTAGTAAATAACCCATCTCATAATGAATTTTAAAGCTGATGCCCAATACACAAAGATGCATACTAGCTATATCTTCTTCAGATTTTCATTCTAAAATTGGAAGGGCATTATCATGAGATAAAGGAGGACTTATTCCCAAGATATAAAACTCTATGGAATGAAATTGGCTCTTCAATGTGGTATTTAAACAGGAATGGTTATTTGCTCATAAAGTATCAACAATAATGCACATAATAAGAAAGTCACATAAGAGAAACACTATTAAAAACTTTGAGTTTATGTCAGACAAAGACTATTCATTTTCTTGGGTCTGACCAACTTAATGATGTCCCATAAGGTAACTGGTCCCTCAAATTCTCAGTCTGGGGCACCAAACCAAGGTGAATATTCTCCTTTAAAATCTTAAATCTTAATTATTCTTCCTTTATTTGGAAAGGCTAGGCTGTTAATTATTTATATATTTTGCAGTTAATGTATATGTTTAGTATTTTTCACAATTTCATCATAGGAAGACTGGTTTCCTTTTGTCTTCAGCTGATATGTTAAAAGGATTACATCGATGTCTGCATAGTGCAGGTTTCTTCTAAGTAGCTTGCCTTTACAGTTACATATAAAAATTCGATTATACAAATAGCTGAACAGTTAAGTCTCCACTATGAAAATATTTGCTGGGGTCAAGA